ATCGCTCCTTGTTTCCTGTCTCCTTGCTCCAAGCCACCATCCACCTAACCCTCATGCCCACTAACCCAGCTGCCGGTCCATCCTTAATTTCCTGCTTCCAGCAGCAGGACCGTTGCCTTCAAGTTTGTTGCACTGCATCAAACCCACCACATCCTTCCAACTTCTTGTCGACCTCTCCCACCTGCCTACCAAGCCTCACACAATATGTTGCACCTCCTCTAGACCATAGGTCCCCCCTTCGACACTCTTTGAATCGCTCCATGTTTCCTGTCTCCTTGCTCCAAGCCACCATCCACCTAACCCTCATGCCCACTAACCCAGCTGCCGGTCCATCCTTAATTTCCTGCTTCCAGCAACGGTCCAACAGCATGACCGTTGCCTTCAAGTTACCCGTCCAGCAAAAGGCTGGATCGGCCCCTCTTCCCCTTCCATAGCTCATAATTCTCACTTTTCTTATGTAGTTTATTGCCTATATCTCTATTATAAATAAGTGTGTTTGCTAATTCTAGAGTTTATTCTAGTTTGGTTTTAGCTTCCTGCTTATAAGCATCTTCCCTTGCTATGGTTGTATTCAAGTACAGGTGGTGCCCTGGTTGTATCCTGCTCCAATGTGGTGTTTATCTCTTCGAATCGCTCCATGTTTCCTGTCTCCTTGCTCCAAGCCACCATCCACCTACCCCTCATGCCCACTGACCCAGCCGTCGGTCCTTCCTTAATTTCCTGCTTCCAGCAGCAGGACCGTTGCCTTCAAGTTTGTTGCACTGCATCAAACCCACCACATCCTTCCAACTTCTTGTCGACCTCTCCCACTTCCCTACCAAGCCTCACACAATATGTTGCACCTCCTCTAGACCATAGGTCCCCCCTTCGACATTTGAATCTAATTTAACAATTTTTATTTTATTTTCTTCATTAACACTTTTAATTAATTATAAATCTTTGTAGCCTTATAGTCAATTAAATTTTTAAAAAATACTACTTATCAAAGTTATATATATAATTGATTAGTAGTATTTCGAGCCAAAACGAGTCGAACACGAACGAACAAATATTGGTTCTTGTTGTTCGTGTTCGGCTCGTTAACTTAGCGAACGAGCTGAAAACAAGCTTCTTATTAACGAGTCGAACACAAGCTGTTCGCGAACAACGAGCCGTTTTGACAGCCCTTATGCAAACATTCAAGCATTTTTTTTTTTAACTTCACGAGATGATTCAAGCAGATTCTCATAAACCTCCAAGAAATCAAAACCCCGGGAGCATTCAAGTCGAAAAAAATAAATTTTTAATAGTATGGTGATAGTTCCGACTACTTCTAATTTGGTTTGTACATAACTATAAATCAATGATGGATTCTATATTGGATTCAGCGTATTCCCTGGAAATTAACCTAATGGCAGTGCTTGGCACCACACACCATTGATCCAAATTCATCATAGGGTTTTGCCCCTGTTGATCATCCTATTATTAGAGATATTGGTGGCCATGCCTCTTTGTATCATGTCGTTGATATCAGCATTTCTAATATTAAAGGTTTTGCCCCTGTTGATCATCCTATTATTAGAGATATTGGTGGCCATGCCTCTTTGTATCATGTCGTTGATATCAGCATTTCTAATATTAAAAAGATAACGGATAAAATTTTTCAACTTCTATATGCCAAAAGGAGAAGTATAAAAAAGTCTAACATCATTCTCCAAAACCTCAAGTGAAGCATATGAAAGAAAACCACGAGCTTTCTTTACTTATAGGCATCATTGCTTTTGGACCCTACCACAGTAGTTATTTTTAAAGTTTTTAATCAAACATAATATCTGCAATTGCTTCATTTTGCTCAATTTCCTGTGATTGATGATAAAATTTTATAGTTAAAAAAACCAGAAACGGTATAAATAACGAACTAGGGGGCATGCTCTGACAACTACAGAACAAACAAAATTAAATTAATGAGTTGGCTTCCCCAAGGATGGAAATACTATGGGCCTTGGGAAAATAATTATGATAAAATGAACATTAGTATAAACACAACACTTAATTAAATGATTATAAATGCAGAAATTAATCATCATATTCATGAGTTCTGGGAGTATGGGTACATGCCATAACAAGGATGCAGGTGAATATAAGGGTTGTAAGGATTATCAAAATTAGATAATATTACCTTGGCAGCAATATGAACAAAGAAATCATGAACATTTGACATGATGTTCGGTAGAGACTGTAATGATGATGACCTTGAGTTCAAAGAATTATTTTCATTATCGAGTAGTAGAAGCTGCTCTAACTCTTCAACCCACTGACGACACTCAGCAAGATACTTCTCAAATTGAGAAAGTGAAGACTGCATAAATAGAGATGGTCTCTTTGGGAACCCACTATAAAAATCATAGAGAGGTACCATCGAACAACTTGTCGGTTGATTGCTGGGGTTCAAACTCGCGGGGCCTGCCAAAGAATTACTTGCAGGGACATTATCTAAATTACTTGAGATATTTGGTCGAACAAATCTTGGCCTAATAATCATATATGAGCGCACAGCTACTTCTGTATTCCACATCATGCTTTTTACTTCAGACGTTAGTTCTTGCACTATGAACTTTTCCCTATCCATAGCAGCACTGATTCCTCCAAGTTCCTAAACAGTGAGAGCAGACTCAAATTTTCAAAGATAGCAAACAAATGGAGAATTAACATAAGAAAAAGTCATAGCAGCAGCACAACGGAAGCAATTAAGAACAAATAATATGTTATGCATTTGATAAAGGAATAGATACATATACTCTGAGTTGCAACTAAATACAGGTGAAAAGCAAAATCTGACATAAATAATCTTTAAATTTCTGACCACATGGGAAAAATTTATGATAACACACCAAAGAAGTTCGAAAAGGTGAGAATCACCACGAACAATGCTCTACATTAACAATGAATGGTGCTGTACTATCTATATGAAGGAAAATGGGCCCAAAAGTAATATTTCATGGTACAAAGAGTGGTAACCTGAAGAGACATTAAAAATGGATAAAAAAAATTTTGGTAAGTATTGAAATGGCATGAGTAATATTAGGAACCTTAATATAATCATGCACTTACCATTTTATTACCAATTATACAATGTGCGCTACAAGAAGCTAATTGTATGAATTTTTTTTCTAGACAAGCAAAGTCATATTAGCAAACAATTACACTAACAATCAAAAGAAATGTCAAAGAAACATAATCACAAAACAAATTAGAAAAGTTATTCACTAAGAAATTACCATAAAGGATTCTGCAATGCCTTAACCTCAAAATGAAAGTAAAATAATACAGGTCTAAAGGTGTAGAGAGTGTGTATGAATGAGTGTCAAAAGAAGCTAGATAATGGGAAAGAAACTTTTGAACCTGTAATATATGGCTAGCATCAAGCTCAAAACTGTCACTTGACATTGAAGAGCCATAAAGTCGACTATTCTGTTCTAGCCTTTGGCTCTCATCCTTGTACTCCATAATGCGTTCCCTACAATTAAATAACAATTATATAAATAATAAATATTATATATATACAGCAAAGAAGTAAGAGGCAGGCATTATTTGATTCATATAACATTCTAGCCTTAGAGTCAAAGTAACTGCAATAATTATTGAACAAGGACTACAACAAATTGGAGAGTCGCATCTTTTCCGCAGAACTTGTATGACTAACCAATCAAGATAACTCTATCCAAGCAGGCACAATATTAATTGTCGACACAGCAGATTAGAGAGAAAAGCTGTTGTACAGAGATATGAGAAATTGTTAAAAATTTGCATAGTATATTTGGTGAATATATAAATGTAATTTTGAGTGATAAAAAAACTCTAATAAAAAAGTATTGCATTTGTATGTTTGCATCAAAGATTAATATTAAGTCCCATCTTTTTTAGATTTAATATAAAGATGCTGATAAAGTATTCAAAGTGAGGAACTTCAATCTATGCTACTTGCATATTCCAAAACATAAAAATAAACGTGCCAAACCATATCCTCTTGGTTCATTTTAATAGTTCATAGCACTAAAGCAGTTTACGAACCATGTCACTATACCATGATATTTTGGAAAGAAACATTACTCAGCCGAATCTCCTAAAGCATTTTTACCAACAGCAGAAAATACAAGTTTTATCAGCAACCACAGCATTATCAAAAACAAATAAATGTGCTATAAGAGTAATATCATGTTTGTTTCTAAATCAGTAACTTCCACCTGTTGAATGTATCAGCTTGGAAAAAAATCAACATCCACTACACTTAATAAATCTATTAATTGATGCAATTAATAAATGAATCCGTGTTATCAAAAACAGCAGAATCAATTTTATTAGAAAACTTAATAGTTAATTTTCCAGAAGATTCCATTACTCCAAACTTTAGAACACGAAACACCAAATTAGAAAGATATCTTCTTGGGTACTTCAGAGCAAATGGCCAACTAGGTCAATAAACTTTCTCCCCACAATTAATGTGCCGTTTATAAAATAGAAAACCAATACAAAGTAGGATACAAAGTTCACAGCTGTTATCAAAACAATTGGTTTAGTTTCCCTTCAAAAAAAGGAAGACCAGAAAACCAGTGAAGGTCCACACAACTACTGTAACTCTAATCACTCGTCCTCTATCTTCCCTGCAAAACCATCTACAGAACACCACCAAGGAAAACTACTCTTAGGTAAAACTGGCCCAGATCCTTCTGCTACAGCCTTCTGATTCTAGTAAAATAAGAGGGAGCATTACACTGAAAAGATTACTAACTGCCACCATATAAGGCATCCTTGCCCGCAAAAACCCATTAAAAATGACACCATCGTTAATCAAATCAATTCACTATTTATGCTCTGCATAATTTGCATAAGTACTATTAAGCTTAGTTATTTTAAAAATGATGCGCCATCAAACAAATTAAACAGCCAAACTTTTAAAACAAAGGTAAAGCTTTTCGAATTTCAGGTCAAAGGCTTTAGAATCAGTTGAGGATAATTTTAAGAAAGACACATTTCAGCAAGCAGAAAGTCCCCTAAAAGTAAAATACTTCAATAAACCGGATAGATATGAGCCTTCCGCATCCTTGGCATATTAGGATGAACAGTTGTTAGGAGGCTCTGGCATAATTGGACAAGTATAGACTATCGAGGAGTCAACAATTTGTTTGGACCAGCTTTGGCCAGCTATATAGCTTTCTTCTAGTCGGGAGTTTTGAGAGCTTCATTAATATTTTTGGAATTTGTATTATATTAAGTGATAAAATCATCAAATTTAGTGAAAGAACTATATAAATCATGAAGTTTAGTGAAAGGACTTTATAAATCATGAAATCATATATCTGGTGCTTGGTGCATGATCTCGACATTTTTCTTAACATAATAGGATAGTTGAAATTAGTGCCTACATCTATAAATTTACTCTCACGGATTTATAGTTCCTTTGGTCCTTAAACCAAGTTTGAGTTCTGAAGCATGTTAGTGATATGTTGATTGTGCCCCCTATTCATTATTCTTTACCCTTCTGGTATGGATATGAAGCTCATTCTTCATAATTTAGGTGCATTAACAACAACATGAGAGAGTATGTGATTTTAGTAAAACATGATTGCTCCTTATTCATTATTCTTTATCCTCCTAGTGTAGATATGAAGCTAATTCTTCATATTTTAGGTGCATTAACAACATGAGAGCATATGTGATTTTAGTAAATTTTAACTAGGTTAAATGAGGGGCAATAAGAAATATTCATTTTCCATAGATTTGATGAAAGATTATGGTGTATGAACAAATAAATTCCAAATTCAAAACTAATGCTTTTAAATTCCATCCAACTGAATTTTGGATTTGCAATAAAGTTGGTGTTCAATGAACGTTATGTCTACAGAATTATATATTTTTCTAATGACAAAAAATTGTATTTATACATTTATTAATTAGGAAGTATCCAATAAAGATACCCTTGATATATTTATAATCTAATTAGGTATGGAGCTGAGAATAAATGTAAATGAAGACTAAACACCGAAAATTTTTGGAGGAAGAGAATAAATGATTTTGTTCTGGGGAAATTCATCGAAATAGGTTTCAATAGAGATTGCAAATATAAGTAAACTTGAGGGCATTCTGTAATGACATAGGTAACTATTAGAATAACTACTCCCTAAAGATACTATGAGGAGAATATTAGTGATCTAGCCACATCTAATAGGTTCCCTTTTTTCTCTTTTCAATAACCCCATTTTATTAAAAAGCATTAACACATAAGTTTTAGTTGATAATCCTTTGATTTAAGAGAGAATTATTTAAAATCAATTCAAGGTATTCTTTGGCATTGTCACTTTTAGCATTTAGATTTTGGACAAAATTTGAGTGTAGATCATGGTGTAGAGTTATTTAAAAATTTGCTTGCTTCAAAATTTTCCTTTATTAAGAAAACCCAAGAAAGAAGGTAAAAACATCAATAAATTCAATAAATCATCTACCTCTTAATATGTGTTTTTACTCTAGAAGGCACCCACACAACATTAGGACTAAAGGAAAAGATTGGAAAGATTTGTAAATTTGACTGAAATTAGAACTACATATGTTCAACCACATAATATATTTCACATTGAAAGTCCTTTGAATTTGTTTGGATGAATTAAAAAGGAATTAAATTTTAAAAGTAAGCAAAGCTTCTATATCCTAAGCAATAGTGCCAAACCAAAAATTTATTATTTGAGATGGGGTTTTAATGAAAAAATAATCCATTGTTTCAGCTTGTACCTTACTTAAGATGCCATTCATTAGAAGGAACAAATCGTAGAAGTGAGATTACAAATAAAATTTTTGCCTTGAGTAAATTTGATGATTGATAGTAAGTTGTAATCTAGATTAGTTACTCAAAGTACAAAATCAAGTGTTAGATCTACTAAGAGGATGATATAACTTATTCGGAACATTTTTTTTTATAATGTCCCATCTACATTCAGGCATTACAATTTTCATGGGTTGGACTCCAATTGTGGAAGACATTTTTATCTCTTATTATATGATTTGATGCTCGCAAGTTTACTACTAAAGTACTAGTATTTTTCATATTCCAAATGAGAGCATTTGAGAATTTAGGTTTTTGAGCAACCAAGTTAATTTTGGTGATGCTCCAAAATAAGCTTTTAAGCTTTTACTGGGTGAAAATTTGACACTTGATTTATTGTTCAAATTGCTAAAATATTGAGATAACTATTGTGTTTTGTATTTATTTTTTGTCATCCTTGGAAAATTTTAATTCAATATTTCATCATGTACGTTCCACATTTTGGATGTGGTTTTCCATTTCAAAGTTGATTTCCAACATTAGAGTTGATAACTTTTTGGCCAGTAGTTTCATCATAACAATTGCTGCTATCTTCTTTCCAAGAGAATCCTTCATATATATATTTATGAAACTCTTATTGGACAAATATTGGATTTCAATGGCAGTGAATTAACCGTCAAAATGAAATAGCAACTTCATTATAATAGACCGTTCAACCTCATAAAGAATAAAACTTTAATATATGTAATACCATCTTGAAAGTTAGGTTGTTAAGAGATGAGGGTAAAAAATAAGAAATTGCACGACTAAATTTTATTGTCTCATTACGTTAAAAATAAGATGAGAACTAGTACATAAATATGTAATGAAATAACTATCAAGAGAAGAAAGAAATATGAAAAATAATCTTTGATTATGAATTTCAAAAATAACTACATAGGATAAATAAAATATTTTAGTCCATGGATTGTTAGATTGAAGTAGATGTAGAAGTGTTGTCCAAAAATTGATAGATTCTTGTAAATAAAAGAAAATAATCTTTGATTATGAATTTCAAAAATAACTAAATAGGATAAATAAAATATTTTTGTCCATGGATTGTTAGATTGATGTAGATGTAGAGGTGTTGTCCAAAAATTGATAGATTCTTGAAATAAAATTTAGTTTCCATGAATTGTTGAGTTGTTGTAAGTGAAAAAATGTTAGCCATGGCTTAAAATTTATTTTAACAAGAATTAGTACATCCTTGCATCCCATCAAGTATGTTGATCAAAATAGAAGCTTGACTAGATGAGGTTCCAACCAAAAAATGTCAGATTTGTGTTTAGGACAGAAACATTTGGACAATGAAACCTTAGCTAATGAAGGACTTGAAAATTAATAGTACCCAATTTAGTAAAAGGTTGTGAAAGGCATGAGAATAAATTGAGAAAACAATGATTGATACTATTTTCTTTCTTTATGTTGTTCTTCCGCATTTCAATATCCCATAAAGGTTAATTGTTAAGAAATACATTTTATAAGTCCTTTAGGATATGCTTTTAGTTCATAATACCAAAATCGTTGTTGTCTAAAGATTGCCAATTCCCACAATTTTTAAAAATGCTTCATTGTGCCTCTTCCAACATTGCAATCGCCTCCAGAATCTTCTTCATGATCCAAAGGAATCTATTTTGGAGCATTTTCATCCTTCCCTAGTATGAATTGTTGAGAAAGAAAAAGCATAATCATTTTTCATGACTATTTATGTTGTCCATGGTCCATTTCATATATTGAGATATAAAATCATTATTATATTTTCATTTCTCCTTCCTTACCTGCCTTGGCAACCATGCATGAATGAATTATCAAGACCTTAAGCTGTAAAGAAAACCACTTTTCAGCGACAAATGATGTTCTATTTCTAACCCAAAGCTCTTCATTCAATTCCCTCTCCCTCTCCTTGAAGCAAGCCTCTTTTCAAACCAAAACGAAGTTCTAATTATAAACCAATGCTCTTGATTCACCTATCTCATAAATGCTCAATTTGATCAGCTATGTGCTTTTAGTCCATATAGGGAAGTCTAAAACATTTCTAGCTTAGCTCCATTATGGTTGGCCAAAACCTCACATCAAGAATTTCAAAACAGTCCACTTCCTCAACCAAAAATTTACTTACAAAGCCCAATCGTTTCCACAAGCTTGTAATCTATCTTATATCCTAAACAAAGCCTAAAACCTAGCTTTCTCCTAGCTGGGATCGAAGAGTTCAAGTAGCAGTACAATGCAAACTCAAGGTCCTAATCTACAAATTAAAACTTATCTTAGCTCCAACAAAAAGCTTTACAGCTTCCTCCATGTTCATTGGTTTTTCCACTTTACATAAAACACTTCTGTCAATATAAACTCTTTAAAATTAATTCCAACCAAATCTAGAAGAAAAAAACTAGGTCGTCACACAAAGTTGGATCTCGGCTATGAAATGTAAGAAGGCCATCAAACGTTCATCCCAATTCCTGAGCATCCATCTTTCTCATATATTCACAAGATGAGAAGCGCATAGAATGATGCATAACTAAAAGGTTTTCAAAACTGTTATCAAGCAAGAAATTCTTATAGTTTTTATCGTTTTTCTAGAGCTAAGGCAAAGTCAATTGTTTCGGATAAAAGAGAAAACATTCCGTTATGTGTTGGATGAAAAAAATTAAACTTACAACTATATGTCAAAAAGAGCATCTACGAAAAGTAAAAGATAAAGATACCTTATTTTAGACATTTTGGAATGCTATCCAGAAGGCAATTCAAAGTCACGCCAAGTAATCAATTTAAAAAGAATGGCATGAATTTCTAACCATAACAAAAGAACATAAGCGATTGAAACTGAAAACTTATGCCATGTTCAGTTTTCACTATAAGATCCGTGAAGCGCGGTGAAATATATGAAAAAGGGGGCAATGCAACTAAAAGAAAGTATATAAAGAATAAAAGTAACCAAACTCTATTTGAAGGAGGAAATTCTGGGAATCGGAATGCAGATCCTCAAATTTCGTGTTGTAACTAGCAGGTGACCTATCTGTCGTAAAAAGATACAACTGCTGCTGCTGTTGCTGCGGCTGCAGCTGCAGTTGAGGCTGGGGCTGGGCGAAGGAGGTAAACTGCTGGTTCTGTGTAAATAAGGACGGAGGCTGCTGGCCTGGCGTCGGGTTTAGGTTTAGGGTTGGGGAACTTTGGAATAGCGGGGCAGAAGATGAGAAAGAGAATGCCATTGCTTGCTTCCTCCCCCGTCTTTCCTTTCTCTACTGATCACCCGCGAGGGTTTGAACTGTGAACTTTCTCACTCTCAAACCCTCGCAGGCACTCGCACGGGTTTTTGTGCGCGGTGCCATTGCTGTTAAAATTCTGACTATTTCTTACTTTGGGAAAATTTGAACTTAGAATAATTGGAAAAGTACATTATTACTAAAAAGAATTATTTCAGATTAAAATAATCACTTCTTTATTAAGAATTACATTTTTTTTTTTAATTTGATGCAAACAAAAGTGACCCAAATTGATTGGTATGGCCAGTGATGGGTAGGCATTCACTTATTTATATCGCCCAGACAATTTCGAAAGATCATTTCATGGATCAAATGACTATCTTGATAAGTGCGGGCGAGCTCGATATGAGAACTTGATAATACAGACGAGCTCGATACCAGTGCTCTATGAGTGTGGGCGAACTCGACGGAGGAGCTCGCGATGAGCTCATCAGAAGAACCCGCTTAGCCTTCTAAGAGGCAAGTTATGTAGTTGTGTCTTTGACAGACGTGGCTGATGAATATAGTTTATCTGTAGCCAGTTTTAGGTGTGCAACATCCATTAGACCCATAAGATCTATCTAGTGTTTGGGCTTCTAAGATAACTTGGGAAATCCACTTTTGTAAGTGCACGCTCAAATCTTATATTGACCAAAACAAGATTTGAACTCCTCATTCAAACAAACTCAATATTGAAATAAATTTGAATCAATTCACCTCTTATTTCAAACTCAATTTCAATTTGATATCAATTTTCTTATTGTGTAAACCAATTCATTTATATTTTAGGACAACATGTGTGGGACATTCCATCAAAATGACAAGTTGTGCATTATTGTTGATAATTAATTAACATTTGCTAATTTAAAAATATTTTAAATCAAAGCACTCATTGAATGGTAGCTATAGATTATTTATCAAAAATTTTAAGGATATTAATTTTTATATAAAACAGAATTACAACGTTGGAACAATAATATCATTAAGTATAAAATTAAGGTAAAAACAATTAGGGCTTAACCCTACTAGTAACTAACTTGATCATGATCTTTGGCAACTCATTGATTGCATCTTTCTCTTATTTTAAAGGCCTTCTATTTTTCTTCTTATGATGACATTTCGACTTTACTAGTGGGGGTAAACACAAAAACATCTTTAATTTCTTTTGGAGCCTTCTAAGTGTCTCATTTTGTATTTAGTATATATATTTTTAGCATATGCACCTAATCATACTTCGTATAAAAATTTGTTCATAAATTATAATAATTAACACTTGATCTTGAGCTATAAATATTGTATGTTCGCCCGAGAGACATATTATATAAAATTCTCAATGCATGTCATTTCATGCAAATCGACACCAATATTAATATTATTATCAATTATATATAATTCAAATTAACAAATGTAATAAATAATCATACACTGAGCCTTATTCCAAAGCTTCATCATTGCTTTATTAATTTATGTCATTATAATAGTTTGTACATCAAATGCAATAATACATCATAACATGTATTCAAAAATATTCCATCAGCACTAAACAATGACCCACTTGCATTTTTGAAGTATTCGATATAACCACTCAAGGAAACATTAAACATAATTGAAACATCATACATTGTCATGACTTGTGATGAAGATCATTATGTATCTCTGAATTATTTTAGCCATGTGTTATCCATATATTGATTTATTGCTTTCAGCCTTAAGATACATGAAAAGTTAAAAAAACACCCATTTACTAGTTTTGAGTAAATCACAATATCTCTTAGATATGGCTCATATACCATAAAGAGACAGATTCTGGAGCGGAGCGGAGCGGAGCAGAAGATTAGTTTCCTTATGTGGGTTGGGGGTGAGGTACAGGGGTAATTTGGCAATTACATATTGTACTCCATGGTTTTCTAGGGTTATAAATAGGCATGTATGTAACCCTAGGTGTTATCCCAAATTTTGTAACCCTTTTCTGAATATTGAAACGAATTCGCCGCTCTGCTCCCGAGGACGAAGGCAACCTTGTCGAACCTCTTTAAATCTGTGTGTTCTTCTGGATTTGTGTCGATTTTTTTTTTTCTTCACCCTAATTTATCAAATTCTGGATTTGTGTCGATTTCTGTTTTTCTTCACCCAAATTTATCAAAAAGTAGTATCAGAGAGAGGTTGGAGGGCATAGAATTTTCTGATGCATGAAGAAAGAAAATTTGAAGAAAATTTGGCGGCTAGGTTTCAAGGATTCGGGCTTCTGCAAATTCCGAGAGTTTGGCGAAGCTTCGGAGGAGTTGGCGCAGGAAAAACGGCGGCAGAGGAGTTCGCGATCTTGGACGCTTCGGAGACTAAGGGCTTGCGACAGTTCCAGTAGTTCGTGAGATCAAGCGAGAGACAGAAGTTGTTCACGTGGGAGTTCCTATTCGCGATTCGCTGGGGATGGAGCGCAGTATGGAGGAATCTAGAACAACATGGAGGAATCTGGAAGAATATTCTTCTGAATTTCCTTCAAAGGAATTTCCTTTGTTGCTGTTTAATTAAAGAAAATATTTAGTTAAGGAAACTTAATTAAAATTTTCTTTGTTGGAGGCTGCGGAGAAGGAAATTAGAAGTTCTGATTTTATTCTTTTGCGGAAAAAGGAAAGTTTTTGAACTTCAATTAATTTGTTTTTGAACTTCAATTAATTAAAAAAAATATTTTAATTAATGAGGATTTAATTAAGGAACCTTAATTAAGAAAATATTTCAATCTTTTCTTTTAAAAAAAATTTGTTGCCTTTCTTAAAAACTTAATTAAGGAAATTTTTTCAATCTTTTTGAGAAAGATTCTGAGCAAGTAATTGCAGAAGTATTTGTTGCAGGATCAATTTCAAATGGCAATATCTGGTGCGAAATTCGAGGTAGTGAAATTCAATGGAACTGGTAACTTCGGATTATGACAAACAAGGGTGAAATATCTGTTGGCACAACAGGGAATCTTAAAGGTTTTGCGGGCAATGAAACCAGATTCCATAAAGGATGAAGATTAAGAATAATTTCAACAACGAGCGACAGCTACTATACGCCTATGCTTGGCAGATGAAGTTATGTATCACGTGATGAATTTAAAATCTCCAAGGGAGATATGGAAGAAATTGAAAATTTAGTTTATGACTAAATCTCTAACGAATAAATTGTATCTGAAGCAAAAGTTGTATGGGCTAAATATGCAAAAAGATTCTGATCTGGAGCAACATGTTAATGGTTTCAATCAAAAAATCACAGATTTATCACGGCTTGATGTGACTATTGAGGATGAAGACCGAGCAATGATTTTGTTGTGTTCACTGTCTTCTTTCTATGAACATCTGGTCACTACACTTACATATGAAACTAAGGGCTTGCGACAGTTCCAGTAGTTCGCGAGACCAAGCGAGAGACGGAAGCTGTTCGCGTGGGAGTTCCTAATCACGATTCGCTGGGATGGAGCGCAACATGGAGGAATCTGGAAGAATATTCTTCTGAATTTCCTTCAAAGGAATTTCCTTTGTTGCAGTTTAATTAAAGAAAATATTTAGTTAAGGAAACTTAATTAAAATTTTCTTTGTTGGAGGCTGCGGAGAAGGAAATTAGAAGTTCTGATTTTATTCTTTTGCGGAAAAAGTAAAGTTTTTGAAGGAAAAAGTAAAGTTTTTGAACTTCAATTAATTAAAAAAAATATTTTAATTAATGAGGATTTAATTAAGGAACCTTAATTAAGAAAATATTTCAATCTTTTCTTTTAAAAAAAATTTGTTGCCTTTCTTTCTTGATTCAGGATGCTTTTATCACATAACATCTAACAGGGAGTGGTTTACTTCATACAGGTCAACTAATTTTGGCTCAGTTTATCTAAGAGATGAAAGATGTTGCAATACTTTGCATGATCAATTTCAAATGACAATATCTGGTGCAAAATTCGAGGTGGTGAAATTCAACGGAACTGGTAACTTCGGATTATGACAAACAAGGTTGAAAGATCTGTTGGCACAGCAAGGAATCTTAAAGGCTTTGCGGGCAATGAAACCAGATTCCATAAAGGATGAAGATTAAGAATAATTTCAACAACGAGCGACAGCTACTATACGCCTATGCTTGGCAGATGAAGTTATGTATCACGTGATGAATTTAAAATCTCCAGGGGAGATATGGAAGAAATTGAAAACTTTGGAAGAAATTGGAAACCTAGTTTATGACTAAATCTCTGACGAATAAATTGTATCTGAAGCAAAAGTTGTATGGGCTAAATATGCAAAAAGATTCTGATCTAGAGCAACATGTTAATGGTTTCAATCAAATAATCACAGATTTATCACAGCTTGATGTGACTATTGAGGATGAAGACCGAACAATGATTTTGTTGTGTTCACTGCCTTCTTTCTATGAACATCTGGTCACTGCACTTATATATGAAAAAGAAACTATCAAAGTTGGTGAGATTACTGCAGCATTGTTGGCTCACAACCAACGAAGGCAGAATGCAAGGGAAAACTCTCATGGTGATAGTTTATATGTTAAGGATAAACAGGATCGTGGATGGAAGAAAGAGAAGGAGGGTTCTGGATGGCGAAATTCTAGATTCAAGCCGAAAGACAAAAAGACAATTCATTGCTACAAGAAGTCAGGTTATATGAAGAGAGATTGTCCAAAGCTCAAGAAGCAAATTGGGGAGAAAGGTGATGAATCATCAAAGTCTGTAAATGTGGTGCAAAATGACAATTCATATTGCAGTGATGGCGATATGCTTTCAGTTTCATCAACTCGGTTCACAGATGCATGGATTCTTGATTCAGGATGCTCTTATCACATAACATCTAACAGGGAGTGGTTTACTTCATACAGGTCAACTAATTTTGGCTCAGTTTATCTAGGAGATGAAATGAAAGATGCTGCAATATTATTGATATTGGAGAAGTCAGAATTAAGATTTATGATGACACAGTTAGAATATTATGTGATGTCAGACATATTTCAGATCTGAAGAAAAATTTAATTTCCTTGGGCACTTTACATAGAAATGGTTTCATTCCTAAAGAAGATGAGGATAGAGAAACCATCATAATTGTTAAGGGTGTACTAACGGTTATGAAAGGAAAGTTA